TTGGGGTTTTTGTTGAAAGGGGGGGGGGGGGGCGCAAGTTACCAGGTTAAGTTTAATCAATAGCATGTGTGGCATAATGTTGATTACCACAAACAAATAATCAATCAATTCAGTGGTCTTTGTTCCTTTCTTTTTTTTAATCAACATATATACCAACATTGAAAGAGCATGTGGTTCGTTAAATCTAAACTGAAGATCCATCTCAAATGTTCATGCAATATAATTATTGTCGGAGGGAAAACTAAGTGAGAGGCTTTGGGAGGGGCTTCACCGGGGTATAAATATAGCCCATGGGTTAAACACAGGTCTGTATTAAGGCAGGGAATGCTATCAGTCCATCTGTTCCCTGAGTGGGATTACATTAAATCCTATTCAGCCCCAGTATTAAGAAAACCATCCACCAAGAGGCCATCAAATAGTCTACCAAGGGGAAAGGGAAGTTATAAGCTGTATAAGGACAGTTCGAACTTTGAACAAGCACGTTTGAGGACACTCATGTTAATAGGATACGAGATCAGTCAAAATTGTATTGTGTTGGGAGAGACGGCCAATAATGCATTTAAGAGTAAGCCATGGAAAGTGTGTGTGTGTGTGTGTGTGTGTGTGTTTGATGCATCAGAGGCAGAATTATTAAGGCAAGGATTGACCCGCCTGAGCTGAAGCTGAACAGTAAATGCACACTGGAGAACTGAAGTCCTTTGCTAGTGGGTAAAAAAACACATTGCAATTACACACTGCCACAAATAATGCTTATAGATGCTAAATAACCTAGCAGCAGACATAGTGCAGCCCTTTAAGTGTTTGACATGCGGCGTGTGACGTTATTGCATTCAAAGATGACTTATCCTGTGTGTCTGAAAGCTTTTGTTGTGCTGATCACAATATCAATTCTCTAACATTACCAGCCCGCTATTTTCTCCACAGCCTCGTAGAGAGATTCGTCCCCAGAGAGACTCGTGAAACCAAACAGCCAGTAAGGTCTTGGCAATCTGGTGCCAGAAAACACTACTGAAAACATTTTGTACTGATGTTTATTCAAATTGCACCACCTCAATAACTTTCCGAGCTCCCCTGCTGCATGTCAGCAGTAATGAATAACTAATTTAGAAGGTGATATGTGTATTAAGGTAGTTGTAGGTCTTTTTACTGCTTTTTAAAGGCCTCTTGGTCCACCTGCTTTCCTGGCACATGCAATCAGATATCTTATTGCCGAAATTCAGCAGTGATTTTCACTAATGAAGCAGCGAACATGTGTGTTGCTCAATGATAGCGGTGTAGTAGAAAAAATAAGACTTCAAATAAAATCAGGTCTTATGTCAGGCTGGCTTTAATTAAATTGTTCATTTCTTTTGCCTAACACAACACAAGAGTGGATTAGTAATGATCTCTCATTACTTCAAACTGTAACCATATATCCATCTTTGTTTGCCTAATTACTTTAGGGATCTATATGTAGCTTAATTTCATTTGGACATATGCCCAACCTGTGCAATTCTGCCCCTAATTTTCTCCTCCCCTATAGATGAGACGAAAAAATGTGTTTAGATAATAGGCTAGAATACATTAACTTGATCCGTATTTCATATCATCATACAAAGTGGAAGCTTTATGCATTTTGGATATGAAGATCTGAATTTGTTATCTATTTGTTACCTAACTGTATTTGAGATCAAATTGACCCCCATTCAATTTGCAAAAAAAAATAAAAATCGGCACTATGAAAAATACTAAAGATTTATGCAAAAACAGAAAACCTCTATTGTAGTTTGTCAGTAGTGAATATTTTCACAGTGAGGTGCAAATAACTGCAAGTATACATAGAATATTCCTTTAAATAATTCAGAAGACGAGTATAAATTTCAAGTAAACTCAAGTTTTACATTTTATAAGTTCTCATGTATTTCATATTTTAGTGTTTGGTAAGTTACAATACAAGTTTTCTGTTTTCTGCCTTACTCTTTAGTGTTTTTCAAAGTGTTGATTTTTGGCGAATTGCATGGAAAACAATTGGGGTCAATATGACTCTCAACACAAAAGTTAAAGTTTTTGAACATCCTTTCCATAACGCATCTATGTGTCGAAACAAAGCATACACGTTAATGATCCCAAATTAAAAACATTGCCCAAATTTCAGGAAGAAATTAATAGTTTAACCATTATTTTGGACAGTTTGAAAATCAAGTGTGGATCAAATGGACCCCAACACAACAGGAAGGTAAAATAACAACAACAATAACAATAATAATAATAATAATTATTATTATTATTTCAGAATTTGTCACAAAATGTTAAAGAAATGTATTGATGTAGCATTTATTTATTTATTTAGCTGCAAATACAATTTACAATCTAACAAAATATTTTGCAGAAAATGAAACAGAAGTTTTGAGCCTATCATATATGAATTATAGGTCACACTTCATTTTAAGGTCCAATTTTCACTATAAATGTTACTGACTTATATATTAATTTACATATCATTTATATATTAAAATAAGAGTGGCTACTCTAAGTTAAATAATAAACACTAAATATTGGCAATGTTAGTTTGAAAATGAAGTAAATTCAATTATTCAGTGAATATGCAGGCAATGATAGAGCTGTTTTCTCCATGCGCTGTCCATGGTGCTGAAACACTTTCCTCTGCAGTGGAGTTGGGTAAAACAGACAAGTTGACATGTTTCAGATGGGCTTTTAGGAGAGTCTCTCAGCTTCTTCAGTTCAGACGGGCTCAGGTTTAAAAAATAAAATAAAATTACTAGGCGGACATGGAAGCTGTCGTAAACACACAGGCCTTGCTCTTCATAGATTAAAAACAAAAATCACAATTTTATTTGTCAGTTTTCATCAAAGAAAAAAAAAACACAGTGTTGTGCACCATAAATAAATAAATCAATGCATACATATTTTGCTGATGGGCTAGTGTTTTTTTTTTTTTAGTTTGTCAGTAGTGAATATTTTCACAGTGAGGTGCAAATAACTGCAAGTATACATAGAATATTCCTTTAAATAATTCAGAAGACGAGTATAAATTTCAAGTAAACTCAAGTTTTACATTTTATAAGTTCTCATGTATTTCATATTTTAGTGTTTGGTAAGTTACAATACAAGTTTTCTGTTTTCTGCCTTACTCTTTAGTGTTTTTCAAAGTGTTGATTTTTGGCGAATTGCATGGAAAACAATTGGGGTCAATATGACTCTCAACACAAAAGTTAAAGTTTTTGAACATCCTTTCCATAACGCATCTATGTGTCGAAACAAAGCATACACGTTAATGATCCCAAATTAAAAACATTGCCCAAATTTCAGGAAGAAATTAATAGTTTAACCATTATTTTGGACAGTTTGAAAATCAAGTGTGGATCAAATGGACCCCAACACAACAGGAAGGTAAAATAACAACAACAATAACAATAATAATAATAATAATTATTATTATTATTTCAGAATTTGTCACAAAATGTTAAAGAAATGTATTGATGTAGCATTTATTTATTTATTTAGCTGCAAATACAATTTACAATCTAACAAAATATTTTGCAGAAAATGAAACAGAAGTTTTGAGCCTATCATATATGAATTATAGGTCACACTTCATTTTAAGGTCCAATTTTCACTATAAATGTTACTGACTTATATATTAATTTACATATCATTTATATATTAAAATAAGAGTGGCTACTCTAAGTTAAATAATAAACACTAAATATTGGCAATGTTAGTTTGAAAATGAAGTAAATTCAATTATTCAGTGAATATGCAGGCAATGATAGAGCTGTTTTCTCCATGCGCTGTCCATGGTGCTGAAACACTTTCCTCTGCAGTGGAGTTGGGTAAAACAGACAAGTTGACATGTTTCAGATGGGCTTTTAGGAGAGTCTCTCAGCTTCTTCAG